AGTCCCAGCTACTTGGGAGACTGAGGCAAGAGAATGGCTTAACCCCAAGAGTTTGAGGTTGCTGTGAGCTGTAATGCCACAGCACTCTACCGAGGGCGATTCTGTCTCCCCTCCAAAAAATTCCATTTTCCAGAAACTTCCTGGGCAAGGAATGGCATAGTGCTGTAGAAGTGGGGAAATACTCTCCAAATTTCCTCACAGTGACAAGACAAAATGCTCTGGCTTTGGAGAGAGAGAGAGAGAGAGAGAGAGATGAGATTTGAAACCAATTCTGCCTCTTATCTCTGCAGTTAAATATATTCAACTGCAAAATGAGCTTACTGTTGTGTACTGTTGTGTGGCTCTGAGGATCAGACAAATGAAGATGAGAGAAGGGCACAATCCCACAAGGGCCCCACACCCCACTGCCCAGGCCTTCTGGACACTCTCCACTTGTCCCCGAGCAGGGGAAGTACAATTTACCCATGTTTTAATACACACGCTCTGAAAGAATCCTCTCATGTCTCTACCCACAGCTTATCACTGTTTGGCCACAGTTCATAAGTACCATTTTACCTTTTCAGTAACTTCACAGCGGAGGAGTCATAAAATGAGGTTGTGGGTCCATGAAGCACCTCTTCACCCTGTGGTCTGACTAAACATCAGAGGTGCAGAACATCTAGAAAAAGACACTATGAGAATAGTCCACAGTTAAGTTCCAGGGTCTGTCTCGACCCACGTGGGCCTCCTGCAGCTGGTTCAACGCGCGTTTCAGAACTCCCTGCTGCATCCCAGATAGTATCTGTGCCCATGAGAGAGGGGGAAAACACGCTGCCAAGAAAATGTTGTAGATTGATAAATCTTTCCTTTCTCTTTCCCTTAAAAAATTGCATATTATCATATAGCGCACTGCAACTTCAAACACCTGGGCTCAAGTGATCCACCTGCCTCAGCCTCCCTGGCAGCTAGGACTACAATTCCACCCTGGGGTGAGCATGGGCCAGGCCACCATGGTGGAGATCTTTCTGACACTCATGCTCTGTACTTCTGCCATGTACAAGACTCAGAATAGCCACCTAAGCTCCATGGTGCTGGCTGTTGGTTTCTCCTTTGCCCTGGGGCACCTCTTTGGGATGCATTATACTGGTGAAGGCACAAATCCTGCCTGCTCCTTTACCCCAGCCATTCGCACCCAGAACTTCACCAACCACTGGGTATACGGGGTGGGCCCAATCATTGGCGGGTGCCTGGGCAGCCTCTTCTATAACTTTCTCCTCTTCCCTCAAGAGTGTTTCTGAGAGACTGTCTATCCTCAACAGTGCTGGACTCAGTGGCCCCAACAGACAACCAGGGGTCACAGGGGAAACTGTTGGACTGAAAACCCAGGCCCTGCAAAAGCTCCAACTGCAGAGAGGGAGCAGAAAGCTTCTGGGTTTAAGTGGAAGGCTGATCCAGCCTCTGGAGGAGGAAAGAAAGTGGAGAGAGGCATGTATTTATTTAAAAAAAAATTACATATTCTCTGTAAAGAATTGAAAATACAGAAAAGAAAAAATAATCTCTTAAATACCACCCAGAGATAATCATATTAACATTTTTGTTTGTTATTCTGAACCTGCCCTATGCAAGTCGAGCATGGATTGATAGTCCATGAATGCAGCGTGTGCCCGGACACTGGAGTTAGACCACCTGGGTTCACCCTGTCTCTGCCACTTAGAGCTGTGTGATCTGGTAAATTAGGATGGTGACAATAGATTTCTCAGAGTTTTTGTGAAGGGCAAGTGAATTAAAAATATGATATGCTCAGAACCGTGTGTGGTACAGAACAAGTACTCAACAAATTGGAGCCAGTGCTCCACAAGTCAAGACGTGTGTATCCTGAACACTGTGTCCCTGCATAGCTGTGCATATACACAGGACCAGCACACACGTGCCTGTCTACTGACGTGTATACAGGCCTATAGTGAGCGTGTGAACCTGTGCGGCTCTTATGTCCAAACACACAAAATGGGATCAAGTTTAAGGTAATCTTTATCCACGCAATGTCTCATGCAAGTATCTTCATATAAATAATATACTGATAGATCTGTATCACCATTTTAATGGTTGAAATACTATCCTACAGTACAGATGCACCATACTAAGTACACCAAGCAGGTGTGGATCATTTAGATTGTTTTCATAATTGTTTTTAGCAGTCTTTGTGATAGCTGAGATATCACAGAAATTCAAAAGCAAGTCAAATGAGGAGAAGAAAAACAGCAGTCCACCAGATCAAACCAAGACTATTTTCCACCCCTTTGAACTTCAAGTTAGTGAAGTGGCTTATTCGGCCCACTCAAGTCTAGTTATGATTTAAGTCAGATCATATAATTTAATACCAGCTCAACATTAAAAACAGTGACATCATCATTTGAGTACAAATTTTATTTAACTAGAAGACAACATGATTCTTCCAAAAAAAAAAAAA